ATTTCAACTTAATGCAACAGAATATGAAAATGTGATCGAATGGATCCCTTTTAATAAATTAGATAATATTCAAAAGAGCGGTGATGAATGGTTAGCAACCCGGGTAGATGGCGTACGAATTACTGAATATAAGAATGGATACATACAACAATCACGTACGCCACCATATATAATTACACTTAAAACATTAAATAGTTCTCAGAATTCAATGGATCTGTCAGAAGAGGTAAAGATATAGGATAAACTCCATTATTTATTATTATTAATTGCATCTTCATTTTTATGTACTTAAATTTATTTATCAATTTAGTTTAGGAGCTATATTGAAGATAACAAATTTAAAGTATATGGGCTAACTCAAAACACTGCTACTAATAAGTATATGTTGGTATTTGATAAATTTGATTCCAAAAGAAGTGATCAAAATGGAGTATGCGTACATTGTAATCGGTATAACACATCTAAAGCTTGGTGCCACCCATGTGACCCCCAAATAACTGCTCTAGGATGGACAAATGGAAATAAGACTGTTGATGATCGCATTAAAGAACTTCAACTTAAAACCATAGAATATGAGAATGTGATTGAGTGGATTCCTTTTAATAAATTAGACAATATTCAAAAGAATGGTGATAAATATTTAGCAACTTGGTTAGATGGCATACGAATAATTTCTGGATACACACAATCACGTACGCCACCATGTATAATTACACTTAAAACATCGCCTAATTCTCAGGATTTTTTAACAGAAGTGAGTTAGAATTATTACTGTATATTTACGATAAATATATTCATATACAACGTGAATTTATTTTATAAGTTTAAAAATCCGATGCAACTAAAAGACCGTGTAATTAAAAAAAATATATGTGATAACGCAATTTCCAGCTACTGGTGAATATATGGTAGCATCAAAAAAAACGATTAATGACAAAGATAATGATGAGTTTGCTTCTAAAGGAAATCGTTGGAATGGTAAATGTACAAATTGTAACCGATTTAATACTTCAACCAATTGGTGTCAGTCGTGTGATCCTTATAGAATAATTAGGAATGGACAAGTGGTAATAAAGATATTGATTGCTGTATTAAAGGAGTATATAGTAAATATGTAGTGTATATTTTATAAAGTATGTATGTATAGAAGTATTAATTTGCTATTAAAATGATGTAATGTATGATTAACAAAATATGTACGTATGTATGATATATAATATATTATTAAGTGCTGCGGGCTTTTAAGTCTATAATTTAATTTGGGAAATCTTATTTAATAAATTATTGGTTTAAAATCCGAAGCACAATTTTCTTTTGATAACCCGGCATGTAGTTTTCTCTTTGTGATACCATTATATATGATTAATCAATGATGCATAAAGTATATTATATATATATATGTGTCGACAATTATTTCATTTCTTCTCTGCATTTTTTTAAATAAACCTTTGTCTAATGGAATCAGATTTGGATTTGACTACTGAAGAAAATTATAATCTAAAAACTGGTATTACAGAGGAATTTTCCGATTTAGATGTTGATGAATAAATGAAGCATCAGATTCTGTAATATTATTAAATTCATAAAATGGAATATTTAAAATATACTTTAAAAATGTGAGCTTATAGTATTTTTTTAGAGTGACATAAATGAAAATCAAGATTTACAAGAAGTAGCATGTTTTACAAAGAAATTATATGCAAATCAAATTATCCATAGTGCATTACCTATAGAGTACTCTGCAACATCTGAAGATGGAGTTTCGACTATTTTTAATATTACTGGCTGGGAGAATTATATGGACACATTTAATAATATAAAAAAAATTTAAATTATTTTATTAATAAGCTTATAATATATAATAATTTTAAAATATATATAATATTATTATTTAGATTCAATATTCAATTAATGGCCATGGTGGTGCATCTATTATTCAAAGTTGTCCTTTCTTTGGAAGCATTTCTGTTAAGAAAGATGGACAAAGATGTCAGGGCATTAAATATTGTGAATTTAGTGACCCAGTATATCTTAATACTGTTCATAATAATGTTGATGTTGATTCAGATTTTTATCATAAAATGACTGTAGATCAAGAAAAAAATAGCAAAAAAATAAAAACCTATACATAATTTTATATTTATTTTAATTGTTTTTTAAATAAAATATATAATATAAATTAATTTAATTATTTATTGAAGAACATATTTAGCCACAAGTGAATCTAAATGCAAGTTTCAGTATAATGGTATTCTTTGTTCAGTATCAGCAAAACTTGGAAAAATTGTTGATTATTTAATAAATACTACATCTTACTTCATTGGATATACTAAATATAAGCCAAAAGATAAATGGCATCATTTTGTTAAAATTAATACAAATGAAGTTGATTTGGCTTTATTAAAAAAATTATTTATGGGTGAATTAATTGAAGAAAAAGATCAAGCAATCTGTACTTCAATTGTTTTATGAAGCTGCAAAAGAAAACAATGTGGCAAATTTAAATTTATATTAAAATTATAATGATTAATTATAGTTTAATTAAAAATTAATTATTTGTAGAATTAAAGATGGTCAAGTTATTAGAGGAAAAATAATTGAAAAATTATGCTCAGTGCGCTTTATTAAAATTATTTCATTGGATATATCAAGCTGTCCTTTTGTTGCTCTTATATATATTGGCATTCACAATCATCCACTACCACTACTGGAAAAAATACTATCAAATGTTAAAAATATATTACAAACTTTAATTAAACAAGCTATTAATAATAATGAAGCTTTAACATTGCATACATTTATTACAAATAATAATATTTAATTTTTTATTTAAAAAAATTAATTTTTTAATTAATAATTAATTATATTAATTTATTTATTTAAAGGAAACTTTATTAAGGCTTTATTTAATACTGAAATTCTTAGTCAAATTCATGTTTCACTTAATAATATTGATAGATTATAATATTTAGTTAATAAGGCTTATAAAGAAATATATCGATATAGACAAAGTATTATGGGTATATAGTATAATTTAACACAAAAAACTTAATGATTTATATAAATATATTCAAAAAATTGGTATGTATATAATTTTATTAACTAGTTAATATTATATTTTTTATTAATTTTTTTTTTAGAATTTTTTCAAGATAGTCAAATTATAATTATTTGTATGTTGCCAGAATTGGCATCTATATTACAAAAATTATCTTTTTTTTAAATTGATATGAGTTATAAAAGAGTTAAAGAATCAATTAATGAATTTGAATGTAACTCTTATAGCAAAGATCATAAAATTCATTAAGTATAGTTTAATATTTTTATTTATTTAAATTATTATTAACACTATTTAATTTTGCCCAATTCATTTTACCAAAAATGATTATACTGTGTAATAAGTTTGTCATGTGGTGTAAGTAGCCTTTACTATAAATAGTTGGTAGTTCTACTGCTTATGGTAATTTGTGCTATGCCCATGTATTTAATCATCAAAAAAATTTCCTCGCAATATTTAAAAAAGGAAATTTGCTTTTTATGTATATATATATATATATATATGGTATTAAGGTGACCTCTTTGGTCTGGGGAACTTTTTATTAGAGTATAGACGAAGTTTTATATGTAATTACAATGA